GTGGTCCGATTTTGGCCTCGTGATGGCTTTGATTCTGCCTTATGAGGGGCTCAATTTTGTGCTTTGACATGACCCCTGTTTTGGCTTGTGATGTGGTTCAACTTCAGCTTTGATTGAGCCTGGTTTTAGTGTGATATGTGCCTCAGTTTGGGGCTTGATTTTCAGGCTTTGTATTGCTATCCCTACCCGTGAGTCTTGTTGGATGTTGGCTTGGATTTGGTGGCTTCCCTTTAGTTGCCTTGCCAGTGAGCTTCGTTTGGTGGCTCCCCTTCGTTGTCCTTGGCCGTGAGCCACCTTGTCTGTGTTATTTAGTTATTGTGCACCTGTTGATTGGTCCCTCCTTACTACCCTGACCGTGAATGCCTATACAAGCCCCTGGATTATATTGGCTTCGTATTGGCATTGAAGACTTGTAGTTCAAGGTGAAATTGAATATTTTGATGTTCGTAAATTGAAATTTCTTAATTTTAGTTGTTTGGAAGAAATTTGAATGTCTCCTTCGAGGGATAATTCGTTAGATGTTTGGAAATGTTTCAGGGCCCAATTCTGCGAGTCGAGTTAATTGTGATATAAAATAAAAAGAGAAGAGGAAGAATCTTTTAATATTTAGGAAAATTTCAGAGTAGTTTGGAGATTTCTAAATAGTGCCTTTTGGGGATGTCTCTTGACTAATTTGTGTGAGTGTGCTCTATTTCTTTACTTATTCGAGAAAGTCCCGTCAGTCGGATGTTTTAGGCTAACCCTCCTGCCGCCTTGGTTTTTCTTTTATAAATTTATTTTGGAGGTGCGTTAGTCTTCTTTCTTTTTCATTTCTTACTTTTTGGTTTGTTTTCCTTGCTTCTTGGTTCGATTTTTAGATGCTTATGTCTAATACATAAGTGCGCATGTATAGCATTTTGTTGTATGTGAAACCATCAAACAATGTCGCAAGTAGGTCGGTTTTGTTTTGGAGCTTAGGGCGGTGTGACAAAAGCACACCGGTGGTAGAGCGAAATGATATTTCATCATACGACATCAGGACCCAATCCAGGGACCCGGTGAAATGTAGGATGATAATATCATTCACCGACACAAGACTAGCGGGGGACCTGTACCTTCTTAGGTTGTTGGTTGTCTTACGCCCGACGGCGTGATCGACTCGGGGACAACTATACTTTTCAAAACTGATAAAAACAAATACAATATTTATAAAAATATTTTCACCACAAAATTAATACAACTTTCTTTTGTATGTCTGAAATCCACGTGCATGCTAAAATATAAATTTCAAATGTATTGTAGTTTGGTTGTCCACTTGTCGATTGCTAGTATCGGGCTAAGAAGCACCTTTTTAAGTTACGTTTAGTACGACACTCTTCTAATTGAGTGGCGGTCTCTATATATTCAGGTGACCGACAGTAGCCTTCGACGTCCCTCGAGTAAAAATATATAGTATCTAAGCCTAGCACCGACCCGAGTGTTTGTGGTTTTCTCTCTTCAAATTTTTCGTGTGATTTTACTGGAGCTTTTGGTAAAGCACTCGTGGTCCTGTTCCGGGATTTTCCCGTGTTTTTGATGGTTGTCTTTGAAATTGTCATTTGTTGATTTCTTTGAGTTTGTCGTTGTGAGTCATTTGCCGATTTTCTCGAGTTTTCCGTCGTGACTCACTTGCCGCTTTTTCTCGAGTTTTCCAGATTGTGTTTCTTTTGTTGCTCACTTTTATTTATAAAATGCATGCTAGCTCGTTCCTTAAAATTTGTCACTATACTTATAACTGTTACATTTATCACACTTAAGGAGCAGCGGACCTCCTAGGTATACAGATTTGTTTTTTACATGCGCTCTACTTTACAGCACAGTTTATTGTTCTTGTCTATTGTACATTAAACTGTTTTCCTATACCGCATGCTCTACTGTTTATGTACATACTGTGTTGTCAATGTTTTCCTTTGTTATATCTGCTACTGTTTCTTTTACGCACTATACCTTAGAGAAGGAGGCTAGTAGTTGGTTTTATAGGGGGTACCCGGCAGCAGATCGTTGACTCAACGATTGCATGTACAATTAAAACTAACGTCGAACTCGAATGTGCTACGACGAGGAGCTTGGAGCTGGCGTTGTAGGCAAGACAATCATCTTCAACAGCAAAACATGTCTTCACCAGCTAAACAATTCCTTAGGATTAAACAACAAGTCATAGGATTTTGAGGTCGTTTGCCTAATGCGACATAAATCCTCAAACTCTCTTTAGATCTTTGTACAACTCTATTGTACAATTTGAGCCCTAACTCGTCTTAGGATTCAGAGGTTGTCGTTCGTCACGACCTAAATCCTCACGTCTTCCAGATTTTTTATGTGATCGTTTCACATGAATGTAAGCCCTAAGTAAATAAAAATTGTCATGATAAAACACTTAAGCAATTTCTCCTCAAAACTGAAGCCAAACAATAGGATAAACTGGGAAGTCACCGAGGTTCCCCTCCGGATCTTCGTTTCACATGAATGTAAGCCCTAAGTAAATAAAAATTGTCATGATAAAACACTTAAGCAATTTCTCCTCAAAACTGAAGCCAAACAATAGGATAAACTGGGAAGTCACCGAGGTTCCCCTCCGGATCTATGGCATCCCCTAGTTCTTCCTCATTTGGATTCTATGATAAATGTTCCAAATTTGAGACATTCCCTTTTCACACCTCTTTGTTCGATTTCGTTGAAAAGTCATATCCTTTTGATCTCTTTGAAGATAATATTCCATGATTTTTATCGAGAGTTTTTTTAGGTGACTTCGGTTATCTAACTTGTAATTAACCATAGGGGTTTGCTCTTATACGAAGTTTTTTCAAACCCAACTTAATATAAACCATATTTAATTCTTCGTATTAAATAGAAGAACTTATCTATATATATGTATATAAATTAAATGTCTTTCCAAAGCGGGTGATGGGATTTCAATTCCGACGGCCGACAGCTTTCAAAGGGTAACTCTTCAACCAAAAATAGTGTCGACAATGTGTCATACTTTAAAGTTATGGGAGGGTAATTAAACAGAGGTTAAGATGCATTACAAAGATTTCTCATAATCAATTTGGATTTATGCCGAGCAAGTCTACTATGGAAGCTATACATTATTGAGAGGTTTGATGGAGAAGTTTAGAGATAATAAGGAGAATCTACATTTGATTTTTATTGATTTAGAAAAATCTTACGATAAGGTTCCAAGAGATGTCCTTTGGAGAGTTCTTGAGAAGAAAGTTGTTGATGTGACTTGCATTCAAATCATTAAAGATATGTATAAAGTAGATGTTACTTGTGTTCAAACTGAAGGAGGATTGACCAAATATTTTCCTATTTCTGTTGGATTACATCAGGGATCAACTTTAAGCCCATACCTTTTTGCTTTAGTTATGGATGGTCTTACTGAACATCTACAGGAGGATGTACCTTGGTGTACGCTTTTTGCTGATGATATCCTTCTTGTGGATAAAGAGAGAAAAATCTCAGGAAAAACTTGAATTATGGAGGTCTACATTGGAGTCTAAAGACCTTCATTTAAGTATAACTAAAACTGAATACATGGAATGTAATTTTAGTAGTAGTAGCTCTAGTGACAGAAGTGTGACTTTGGGTGATCAAATTATTAAAAGGTGTGAACAATTTAGATATCTTGGGTCCGTTGTTCAAAGCGATTGTGATATAGATGGGGATGCTAACAATAGAATTCAAGTTGGTTGGTTGAAGTGGAAGAATGCTTTGGGCCTTTTGTGTGATAGAAAAGTACTGCTTATACTGAAAGGAAAATTTTATAAGACGGTGGTGAGACCTGCAATGCTCCATGGCGCAAAATGTTGGTCTTTAAATAAGAAACATAATAATAAGTTAAGTGTTGCCGAGATGAGAAAGATTAGGTGGATGAGTGGCTTTGCACTTAGAGACAAAATGCGAAATCACTATATCCGTGATAGGGTTGGTGTAGCTCCTGTGACGGACAAAATTAGAGAAAGTCATCTTAGATGGTTTGGTCACATTAAACATCGACTATCTGATGATCTGATTAGGAGAGTAGATGTTTTAGATTCGACTTGTGTTAAGAGAGGCAGGGGTAGACTTAGGAAGACTTAGGCTTATTGTATAAAAAATGATCTTAATTTACTAGAACTAAATGAAAATATGACACTAAATAGGACACAATGGAGAAAAAGGATTCATGTAGCCGAACCCACGTAGTGAGATTAATGCTTCGTTATTGTTGTTGTTGTTGTTGCATCCTAAAATGATGTTTTAAAATTTGTGCATACCATGAAAATATACTAAGAGCTAATATCAAACAAGAAGCCTACTTTTGAAGTTAATATTAAAGGAGTGTCATAACCATTGGGTCATTGGTTATGTATTGTCAAGAATCAAATTATATAGAACCATTTTAAAGGCATCAGGCACCCTCAAGGTGATATATTGCTCAATACTGAATTTGCTAAGCATAAGAATAGAAGCTGTCCCAAGTGGCACTAAAATGAAAATAGCCATGTCACTTAAAAATATACTTAAATATTAAGAGCAACATTAAAAATTATATAGAATTATAATCGTCACACTGTGTTCTGTTGGGCCACATAATCAATTTTCAAGCTTCGTTGCATATCAAATTTAAAAGCATTGCTAAATAAATTTTTTAAAATAAATAAAGTAAAACCATTCAAGCTAAAAGCATGTATAAACTAAAGAATCTATCTTTGCCATCTTCTAATTGATTTTTGTCAATGTCCATAATCTATACCGTTGTACTTATAGCCCTCTTATTCTCGATCTAGTTCCTCGAACCAATCCTCTCCATCTTCAAGAAGTTACAACTCTAGCACCTGAAGTTCTTGTACCAATACTCGATCAACAAATTTACAATGGCACATTCTTGTTTCTTCCAATTTTAATGCTCTTTTCACATCATTCCATGCCAACTTTTTTATGTTTTTTATTATTTTTTTTTATTACATGTCAATTCAATATCATAAAAACATGAAGCTTACCTCTTGTGCAACAACCATAGCAGGTTTGGTTGATCGTCCATCAAAATATGCAAGTTTTGCGTCAGCCAATGCAGATTTTAACTTGGCTTTTGGCAGATCATCAGGCACCATTGCAGGGACGCCCAGTGTGTAGATACATGTACGAGTTTTCCTAAAAGGATGTCATTTAAATTGACCAATAGAGCAATACGCAAGAGTTTATTACAATGTCCTGAAAGTAGTAAATTAAATTTAGCACAAACGTCCTCAAAAACTAAAAGAACATAGAAGGATTCAAATATTTTAGAGATATTTTAGGTTTG